TGGGGAGGAAGAGGAGGACGAAGGGAGGAGGTGCTGGAGAAGATGTAGCAGCGACAATGGAGGAGAAGCTCACATTAGGGTCGCGGGGCGGAGGCGCCGGATGGCATCGATGTTGACTCGTTTTCCTTGCCACCAGTGGTGGATCTCCACCATTCACCGCTACCAGCCGCCCCTCCACGACTTGAGCAAGGGTTACCATGGCGGCAACCGAGCGAACGACATACAACGGATGGCGGACGTGAAGTGTGCGGTCAGATCCGGAACAAACTGTAGTAGGACCACGAAATCGGCCAAGCAGTGAGCGACGACCGTGAGAAGAGGAAGGACGAGCGAGGGGAAGCGCGGGACGGCGTACCTGAGGAGGGCTCGATGTAGGAGGCGCCTTGGTTCGTCCTCTTCACCCTCTCGTGCGGTGTGGCGATGGGAGCGGCGGCCAGCGAGGAAGATGAGCCCAGCGGCTCTGCCCAACCTAGGCGACGCAAAGGAGAAGAGGCGATGCGGGGAGGGTGGGCGACGGGAAGGGAGAGAAGAGGCGAGGCAGGGAGGGTAGGCGACGGGAAGGGAAGAGGTGGGATGGGGAGGAGGACGACGCAACGACGACGCCAGGATGCAGCGACGGCGAGGAGGGGGAAAGAGAGAGCGTCGACTTGGGTTTTCTCTCATCCAATCGGGCTCCTCACCTTTACCCCCAAGAGCCAACCACATGCGGAGTGCCACACAATGGACATGACGTGGAATGTCGATACTACCCTCGGCGGGCACCCAAATTAACAGGCGGTGGCACGCCACTCGCGCAGAAAAGCACAAGCACCGGCAACTCCCCACCCACCACAGTCGCTGACGGGCGTGGCGCACACCGCCTGGGGCCGCGTGTCAATGTGATACGTTCAGGCAGAGAGTGTGTGTAAAAGTGACTGCTACTATTCATTGTAGCAATGTTTATATTGATCTGACGGCCAGGATCGTTTCATCTGGAGATCCGACGGCCCAGATACTTTTGGACGGCTAATCAGACGGTCAAGATTCAGACGCCCTAAGAAGCCTCCAATTTGTTCCAGAACTACTAGCCACTACATTCGTCCTGGTTTATTAGTCCTCATCATATTTTGTGTCAAATTTTAATTATAAATTTAACTAACAAAATGTTAATGCATGTCATAAAAAAAATATTATTAAAAATTATATTCAAATATGAATTAAATCCTTGATCAAAATTTTACATGAAATATAAAGGGAACTAATAAAATAGGACGAAGGTAGTATTTCATGCCTCTTTTTTATCATTAATTACTTATCATGTCATCTATTTTATCTGAGAGTGTGATGTTATCACCTATATTAATCTCATCGTGGATACTCTCTCTGTTCTTAAAAGCATGTCCTTTCAATTTTATTGAAAAGTCAAACTTTTATAGATATATTTTTATTGTCATTTCTACATTACATGCAATTTGTAATTACCTTTCGCTCAGCTACTCCGTTCTCTCCTCCTCACAGCTATACGGCGACGACCTAACCCTAGTGCCACCGCTCCACCGGCGCGCATCACCGCCTCCGGCAGCCCCCTGAACAAGTTCCCCTTGGAATTCCTATCTTTCTAGAATTCAGAGTTTGCTTTCCCTAGGGTTAGAAGTTTGGAGCCACCGCCCCTCTCTCCCCGTCCCCATGGCCGACCTCGGCAGCTTCGGCAGGCGGCGGCAGCCGACTGCTGCGGAGGTGGTGGGGCGCCTCAAGGATGACGGAGATTTCGACGCCCTCCGCCGCGCCATCGTCCGCAAGGTCAAGGACAACGTGAGCGCCCCCAAAACCGCCCCATCTCCCCCAAATCCTTTTACCTGTACCTTGGTATTTGCACAATTGCGCCGCTGTTACTCCTTCGTGTCCAAATCGTTTACCTTTTATGGTTTTAGTAGTAGATCTGACATCCGAGTGCATGGGGCATGGCCAAAAGACTAGAACTTGTTCTGCATTGGTTTTATTCATGAGTTGTGGCACCGTAGTAGAATTTGCCCCTAAGGGCCGCTTTTAATTGAACCATACATGAGAATTGAATCGATTGTGTGTTTGCTAGGTTTCGGGTGCTCATCTTTTCCAGGACTGTGTTGGTATTGGAAGCATTGTATTTGATATGGAAATCTCCTGCGGAGCACTATCGCCTGATTCCTTAACACTTACTATATGTTTGGAATAGATGTGAGTGTCTAAAGAGTAGTGTTCGTTCTGTAGTGCACTGGTTTGGTTTGGTTGATGGGCATCAACCATGGATTTTTCTATATGTGTCGCCTGATCTTTAACGTTAGTTGCAGCATCAGTGGTAGGGATAACTAGTACAAATTTTTAAGGAGGAAACACACACATACAAAGGTAACCTGCACCATAACCCAATCTTGGTTGTGTTGGGTTTGAAGGAAGACTCCATCCTGTGTGCAGAGGGAAAGAGAGGAACTAATATGGCATCTCACATGGAAATTTCTTCCAAAATCCACGCGATCCAAGAAAATATCAGCCTCCAATCTACATAATTTTAGATTCGGACATGGACACGGGTGTCCAAATCCAACTTGGATTCAAGTGTCTGATTTTATGTTTTTTGTTGGACACAACAAATAACACTTGGAATTCGACACAGATGTTGGAATCTGGTGCAAATTTGGGATGTATAATATTGCCAAAAATAAGCCTTACCAAATATTGTCATTGATATCCAGCTCATTAAAATAAACAGGTGTGTACTGAAATGAGCATATAAGGACTTTAATGAGCATATCTAAAATGTACTGATAGAGGTTTCCTGGATCTGTTTTATATGTTGTCTGTTTCGGAATGGATGTGCACACGACACGCATCCGATAAATGCTCTGCACCGTCAGATGCTCTAGGAACAAAAGTTGAAATAGCTGGATGGGAATGTCGTACGCATCTCGTCCAAAAAGTGTCGGTTCTATAGCAGTGTTCTATCTGTTTTTACTATGTAAGTTATTCAATGTTGACATATTTCAACTATACCACAGGTGTGTTCTTTGGGATCATTTACACACATGCCACTTTTAACCTTTTATATGCATTTTAACACATGTCATGCATCACCTTAGCGGCAGTCCTTGTGCCACATTAGTATTCTTTCCCGGTGCTGTCCGGACTCTGGACTAATAAGCACATCATTGTGCACCAGATAAGATCTCAATGCTGTGCAATTCTATAAGTTAATGGCAAGTCATTTTTTTCAGGAGGTGCTGCGCAACAACATAATCACAGAAGTGAAGCAGTCAATGGTACTAAGTGAAGATGGCTCTGAAAAGTTAAAGCTAAAAGAACTCTCTGATGCGATTTTTCAAGACATAGGGTAAGCTGAGCCACTATCTCTGGGTTTAGTGTTTTTTAACTTACTCCAAATACTGGGAGTTGTTACTACTATGCACCAGAGATATCAGTAACTCATCTGTTATTATGTTGCATTTCCATATCAGGAGCAAAATAATGGGTCAAATATCAGATGAGGTGTGGAGTGTCATCCAGTCAGGTGAAACTGATATCCGAGGAAGTGTGGAAGCTGTCTTTGATAGGATAATGAACCCTGAACAGCAACAGGACACAGGGCCTTCTCCCAAGAAGCTGAAGAGAAATGGCAAAGGAGAGCAAGTTTCGCCAGCAAAGGCATCAGCCCCTGTTACTGTCCAGGTGGAAGATGATGATCCAGAGGAACCACCAGGGTTTGGTTTGAGTGACCTTCAGCGCAGCAACATCATAGTAAAGCAGGAACAGCCATGTGATGATGGGCAGAATCATGCCCAAGTGAAATCAAATGGTGGTGAGCTAGTCGCCGCTGGTAGCTTGGGGGACGTCGATGATGAGGATCCTGATGCACCTCCTGGATTTGATGCACCTCCTGGATTTGGTTAACAGCCCTGCGATCTTCTATGACAGTGTTGTCGTTTCTGTGGCAGCAATGCGCGAGAAGATTTCATGTTTGCTGCTTTGAGGGTGTAGTTGTTCATACGAGAACCTTTGAGTCATGAAAGTGAACCTGTACATTCTGTGACGGTGGCAACTGCCAAGTTCATACCGCCTTTGGCTTTAGCTTTGATGTGTTAATCAGAAAACATATATTGACAATAGACTAAATATTTTGCCCGGACAATGGTGTCGTCCTATGCATCATCTCCAGATTGTGATACGCAGTACTCCTGAGTGGTAGTAGATATGCTGTTCGTTTAATGACTGAAGGTGGTGTTCTGTTTTTTTTTAATGAGATCATGTTTTTTTTTGGCAAATAAGCTGGGTTCAGTTTAAGACGTTCTGTTTTTTTTTAATGAGATCATGTTTTTTTTGGCAAATTTTTTTTGAGACACCTTTTTTTTGGCAAATAAGCTGGGTTCAGTTTAAGACCCATGTGCTACGAGTTGAGTTTTGCAGGGTGGATTGGAGGCCCATGGACGGGGGGCTCTTCGGCGGTGGGGGCTTGGCTGTCAGGCGCCCCCTATATTCTTGTTTTTTTTGTTTTGAACATTTTATGAGTTTGATGAACATTTTTTAAAATTATGTTAACACATTTGAAATACTTTTTTTGGATTTTTTTTATAAAAGAAGGGCTCTCTCCTTCCGATTTTCATTAA